ACACACACACACACACACACACACACACACACACACATAAAGAAAGTATAATTTCTGAAGTCCAGCGTTCAGGTAAAACTAGAAGCTGACAAGCTCTTTTCTTCCAGCTGCGGTGAACTAAAGGATACAACATGTTTCCACCATACTGCTTGCACCTGTCAGGTCCATTAAAATCAGTGGACATGAGGGGCAGTGGAGCTATGTGCAGCAACAAACAAACAGAAAAACTCATTTTAAAACATAACTGTGTGTATGCAAACAAGAAACACATCATCTGATAAAAGAATATGCAGACTTATGTTGTATAGGCCATCATGCAGCTCTGGCCTCTGCAGACAGAGACAGTCAGAGACCCTCCACCCCCAAGGCCTGATCCTACACATGTAACTAATACTAAACCACATTTTTATACATGTGTATGAAGAATGTCACCTTGGTAGAATGRCTCAGAAATTGAAATATTACTTTTGTTTTCAGTTATAAATGGATTTTTGATATTTTTAGTGAATTTAAATCCAATTAGAGAGTTAATTGGGGGAGGACAATAATTACCTGAGCTCCCGCGGACGCCTGCACTCTTTTTAAAAAATGAGCTGAAGGGATCCATTTTTTTTCACAGTTTCCCCCTCATCATCAGTGATGGAGACTGGCAGGTCGGAGTGTGAATCGGTCACATCGAGCCGGGACCAGCGCATCACAGAGAGAAGAGGGGAAAAAACTGCAGAATTTAACCCGTCACGCACCAGACCCGCAACCTCCGCACACAAACATGTCTGTTTGTAGCGCACGAGAGGGGRAAAACGTGACAATAACAATARTAGCAAATAACAGCAGGCTGATAATRATGAAGGTCTCTGCGGCTCACTTACCTTCAGCTGGCCGGGTGGAGATGCGCTGCAGTCGGTGTGGGAGGAGAGGAGCTGAAATATCCGCCTCGTCGTCTCCCTCCCTCCCCTGAAGAGCCTCTGCACTTCACGACTCGGTCCGGCCCAACATTTGGAAGCGCGTSAGAACATGTCTGGTCGGGCTCTGCTCTCGGAACCACTCGACTCGTGTCGGAAAACRCCGGAAATCAGGAAAAATCAGACCCAAATTATGTGGCTCAGGTAAACCGTTTAAGATGCTGAAGTTATCAATCATCAATTATTCATTTCAAATATGATGCATTGCTTCAATTAAACTCATGTCTAACTTCCCATGATGGCTTGCTTTTTGTTAATGATCGCTTAGAATAAACATTATTTTTTAAAATGTCCCGATATATCTCAGTAATCCAGGTAGAAAAAAATCAAAAAGAAAAAGTGGGTTCTTCTTTAGTGAAACACTTCGAGCCCCGCTTGCACTCACTACACACACATAAGCACAGCCAAAGCATCCAAACCAATAAGTCAGGNTCAGACTGAAGAAGTCTCTTGGAGGAGAGACGAAACGTTTCACTAAAGAACCCATCCAGAGGACCTACTTATTTTTTCTTTTCGATTATTTTAAAAAATACTCCTACATCTTCAGTTTTCTTTTATCCAATTTATAGGAAATTTTCAAAAAAGATAAATTGATTCACAAGTTTGCATCAAAATTTCAATAATAATTTGTTTTGAAAGGGGTTTCTGTCAAAAAAGGATGTAAAATCTAATATATCACCTTTGACTGGCCTCAGTTTGGAGAAATTATGTTTAATTGAATCCAGATGAATGTGATGATAGCAAATTTGAATAAGAAATAAGAGCTAATCTAAACAGTAGCTAAAGGCTAGTCTGAATGAGAGCTAGCAGCTAATCTGAACAAGAGCTGGTTGTGGAAATTTTTAACAAAGAACAGGAACATGTGATACGAGTAGAGTTGATAGAATAAAGGCACTTTGTAGAAGAAAACAATTTGCCGAATTATACATTTCATTTTTTATTTACCGTTATTTTACCAGGCAAGTCCCGTTGATTTGAGATTTATGTCTTTAAGGAGAAAAACTAAAAATGACCTTAGTTTTGTTGTTATATATAGATTTGACAAATACCACAATAGTTTCACAAAACTGAGGTTACTAATAAATCTATCTACAACAGGTAAGATATTAATTGCCAACCCTTTCTACAGAATCCCACTTAAAAAGACCTGAAATTGAAGTTCACTTTTAAATTCTGTTTTAGCTGACTTTACAAGTTAATCTGAATATTTAAAAAGCCATATTTAGTGTTACGCTTTCTGAAAACTACACAACTGGTTCATTTTTTTTCTTCACACAAATAAAACTCCCTAAATGTTAAACATTAGATGTGTGGAGAATGAGAATGTAAATGAAGACAGTTCCAGTTGAAAGAATATGTTTAATATTTTCATGATTTTATTATTTCACATGCTGGGGCAACAAGGTAAAAGACTGTTGACACACTATAAACGTATTAGTATTTGCTTCAAGTAAAACCTAATGTGACTTCTGTGTGGGGGTCTATTTTCTCCTGTATACACAAAGTGAAGAGGCAGTATCAACAGACATAATAGACAGGATAAAATCTTGATGTGGAAGCAGCATCARCAGTCAGATGCTGATGGCTGAGTGTAACTCTCCCTCAAGGCAATGAGATTGAATGATGCTCTAATGGAGTGGAGCTGCTTAATGGAGAAAAGGAGCAACAGACACACCTTTGAGTTCACGATCGCCTCAGTATAAAAGGCACTATGCATGTTTCTTTTTTTTTTTTTTGTCAGGAAGGCTTGTTGCTTCTTACATTTGCTGACCGTTGAAGCAAAATGGATTTAAACTGTTCTAACACACACACATGATTTAAACAGATAAACTGAACCTGATAAACTACTCTGTTTGTTGCCTGAGAAGAAATAACGTCACCGTTGTTTCAGGTTTATAAGATGAAACATCAGAGCGTGATAAAATTTATGAGACAGAGAGCATCCGTACAAAACTGCTGAGCTGACATTAGACTCGTGTGTGAAAATAAGCTGTAAATATTTGTCAGCTAAAAAAAAAAAAAGCATAAAAGAGTGTGTTTGCATTAAAGGGAAGAATGGTATCTTGTAGCGTTTTTACAAACAGTAGACTCACAAGTGTTCCTATCGGTCTCTGATTTTAATCTGGCCTGATATCTCGTTCTAAGTCTTCCTCTTGGACCGTCCTCTGTCCCCTGCAGGTTGGCAGTTAGCTGCAGGAGGAAGTGCGTGGGTCTGAAAGTCAAGTTTCTGCTGCAGGATCCCCGTGAGAAGGAACTCGGCGGTGACGACGGGGAGCGATGCAGACACGGCGGGGCCACACAGTCGCCAGTCCTCCTCGCAGGAAATCACTACAGTCTGAGGCTGGGAGAGAGTCGGGGGKTGGGGGGTGGGGGACAGRAAAGACGTGAGATGGAACGACAGCACAGGAGGACAGACACGAGAAGAGCTCTGAGCTCGGATGGCACCTTATGAGACGAGGGCATCTTTGGTAGAAAGACGGCTCCGCTGCAGCAAACGATTTCTTTCATGTGGACTGGCTCTGGCTTCACCGACTTAGTGACATGGATCTCATATCCCTGAAAGAAACACAGATGTAAAGAGACACGTTGCGCATCTTTGTAAGCAAATACACCATGAATAGTTTCTATTTTTGTTTAGGCTCGGCAAGAAAAAAAAAATCAATAAAAGACTCCCGGGAACAGAGTTTGGTCTGAAGTACACCCTAATTTTAGTCAGGCATCAGCATTATCATCATAGATCAAGTTATCCTTTTACAGCTTTGACGAAACTGCACAGCCGTGGAAACATAATACCTCAACATAATGTGAACATAAACACTAAATGTCGGATTAGATCCAACAAGCTACAGTCGACACGTCAGCTGAGCTAAAACCTTTGCTTTGAGGCAGACACAACTTCTGTACCTTCAGGAAAAACAGAATAAAATGCAGTGGTGGACACAGTTAATCAAAAAGTTAGCTTCACTAACCACTATCCACTGAACAATAATCTTAACTCAGCTAATGCTAAACAGATTAAACATTAGAGGACACTAACGTCTTAACCGTTAGCAGTCACAAACCAGTAGTCAGTTTGATTCTATTGGTTTAATTTGAAGGTTGGTGGGATCATTTGTGGCAAATCTGCTATTCCAAACCAGTTACAAGTCTGTCTAATGAAATACTTCTAGCTGAACCCTTTCAGAATAAAAGCATTTATTTGATTGGGTTTGAATTTTTATGAATACCATTTGATGTTAGTCAAACAAATAGAAAATACTTTCTCTACCATATTTTGTACGTAGTCAGTTTTTGTATTTGTTATTTAAAAATTGATAAATGGGATTTTATTTCTATTTGACGCTCTTAGTTTGAAGTTTAGCTGCTAAAGATGCAACATGGGGTGCCTGATGCATCCAGCAATGCTTGTAAGAGGGGATAGTTTTTATTTAATTCAGGATAAGTTGCACAAAAACAGAAGTATGTTTAGTGGAATTAAAATTAGCAGAACCTAATTTAGTAAGTTAACAAAAAAACTAATTAGYTAAATGAGAAGCTAGATACGCTATTAGCAGATTAGCGGAACTGTGCCCACCACAGATAAAATCCTGCACTTTACACTAGCAGTGTTTCCATCCAAATTTAATTCGAATTTTGAGCGATTTTTTTAAATTTCGCAAAAAGGAAAAAATGAAGAAATGTGAATCAGATGTGTTTCCATCAACTGGCTTGAAGCGAATCAGTTACGCCAGACGCATGCGTGTAGTAAACAGGAAGTAAAATTTGCATCTCAGGAAAATGGAGCGAACTTATCAGGAACGTGTTGTTAGTCAGAAAGTTGTAATTATTCTGTCATTAACTAGTTTTGGTGATTTTACATATGGTCAGGAGACGTAGAGGAAGTAATGCATTTCTTTTCACGTTACGGGATTAACTGAGAAGATGCCAACAGCGGGATGAAGGTCCAGCTGCAGTCGCTCTGGTACCGGGACCAGCTTCGGACAGACAGCGGGAACAGCTGATCAACATGTGAGGTAAATGTTCGCTACGTCAGAACTGATTCGACAAATGTGTTTCCATCTGTCCTTTTTGCGCATTAACTCTTTTTCAAAAAAAACAAAAACCACCTCAAGCGAGCGTATCAACTTTTATGCGAATTAAAGGAAGTTTTTTCGAATCATGCCGCTTCCATTCACCTTTTCTGATGCGACACTTCAAAATGCGCATTAAAAAACGCTGATGGAAACACAACTACTGACATCACTCAGAGAAGTATGTGGCCGTTAGGAGAATGAGTGAGTTACCTGCAAGAGAGGCTGACTCCTGGCCGTCTCCAGAGAGTCCTGCAGRCAAAAACTGAACTTCTTCTCCTGCTCTGGATCTTTCACAATAAAAGCATGAGGAGAAAGGAAGCTTCCAGCTTTACCACTCTAAAAAAAGAGGAGAGTCTGTTTGAGTGTCTTTGTTCTGCTTTGACTTAAACAGAACAGATTTTCCAGCWGCGCAGGAAACCAACCTTTTCCAGCCAGTCCGTGGTGACGACAGRGAYACCTTTGGCCACGGCACACAGGAACTTAACTGTCCTCCGCACTTTATCTGTCACCAGACAGTTCATGTCCACCACGCCTTTAGCCATGCTRCCTCCTAATCGAGTCAACACTCGCTCCCCTGTTTCATCCACGACCCCCGTGAACAGCACCTGACAGGATCGCAGCACAGATCCTGTTGGTCTACTGAAATCATTTTTAGAGACTCTCATTGCAAAGTACTGAACTATATCAAGTAGCACAGTTTAGTTTTCCAGATATACTGTCAGTTATACCTTTGGACCAATCTAGTTCATGATTTTCAAAAGAAAAAAACAAAACAGAAACACAGACCTTGTAGGCTTTGCTCCCAGCCCGAAGTCGAGCACTCGCTGCTGGGGAGCCAGACGAGGAGCGAGGAGACTTTGCCAAAGGAGAGGAGTCCGAGGAGGCCTGTCGCTTCCGGGAAACATTACTGGTCGGTGTTTGAGGCTGCTAAGCAGAAGAGGAAGATGGAGAAATGGGTAATAAGACGAATAAGGCAAGAGCAACACAATACACTACATGTTAAAAAATTAAAACAATCAGTAAAAAACTGAATACAAGTAATAAAACATAAAGGAATGAAGTGGGCAGGTGACCACTAAACCACTTCTTTCATTAGTGTATTGATGGTGAGAGTGGAGGAAACTGGGAGTGCAGTCTAATGGTTGGAAAGGCTGAGTCAGAAAGGGAAACAGCTCTGGTCCTTCACAAGAAAACAACATTAATCACACAAAACTAAACTATCACTTGCTTTGATTTACCCATCAACAAATTCTTYGTTGAACTAAAACAATAGTTTCAAGCCCTAATTACCTGCCTAGAACAGTGGTCTGCAACCTTTACAATTAAAAGAGACATTTCTCCTCCTTGGCTCACAAACAAAATGTGTCAGAGCTGCAAAACATGGTACAACTGTGATTATCAACTGGTGGTCCGTGGGCCACCTCAAGTTTGTTAAAGGGGGTGCTTTTTGTCCTGTGGGGGTTACATTATAGAGGTAAAAATATATATTGAAATTTAACATTTATTATAATTTGGACATTTTATGAAAAAAATAAGAGCTTATCCATGTAAAAAAATTAAAAGTTGGTACTAATTTTTTATACTAAAAAAAATGAAATACTAAAACACTGAAGGCATTAAAAAAAGATAAAGATCAGAGGCTGGAAGTTGGATCACGGAAGCGGTCAACAAACCACTAGTATGATCTAATCAACATGTTTTATTTCTTGTGTTAGTATAGATCACATACTGGCAAACAAATTGACACAAAAAATCTGCTAAAAGTAGCCTTTTCTGTTGTGAGTATATAAAAAATAAAAAATCTCATGTTCGTTTGGTTCAAAGCTTTACGGAGCCACAGCAGAGGGACCACAGGTTGAAGACCCCTGATCTAAAAGGAATGCCTTTCCATGCCAGAGTTTTAAAAAGAAAATAATCTCATGTAAAATGACAGAGTTGTAGCCGTTTTAATCAAACCTTGAAAAAAACATTATCAAGATCTTATATTATCATGAGAGATTGTGCATGTGTTAGCACTCAGAGTAACTACTGTGAATGACTATCTGCTACTACCACAATAAACTTAGTTAAAGCCGTTTTCATGTTAGCTAATTGGCTTCATGAAATATTTTGGTGACATTCATGGTTGATCAAACAGTCGATCCTAACGTTTAAAGCTAAGATCTCACTGAATAAGCAGCACTTGGAGTTTGTGTTGTGAATGAATCTCAGCTACTACTAAACCAAATCTTAACTCAAAGTCGGTAAAACTGACTAAGTAGTGGKCATTTTTGTATTTTCTAAGCTCAGTAAGCTGTGGTGGCCATGTTGAACTGGTCTGACGGTGTAGATGTAAATTCTGAGGGTTTGATTTAAATGTGTCCAGTGGTTCATAAAAAATTTGCTAAAGGTAGACAGAACACACTCATGAACATACAAACAAGAACATAATCCCCCTTTCACCTTCATAGGCTGGTGATAAACATCTATAAACGTATCCATGAAATAAGGAAGTCACCTTTGATGYGTCCACCTTTGCCGTCTGTTTTGCGGAAGACGCAGCTTCCTTCAGCTCCTCTTTTTTACTTTTCTGGACCACCGGCGTCCGAMCTCTGGTTTTCTTCTCAGCCGCCTCCACCTTCTTCTGATCACCATCTTTTACCTCCTCTTCAGGAGGAGGTTCTTTTACACTCTTATTTGTTTGAGCGCTGGAAGCTCTACCTGTTCTCCTCACCTGGACAGTTGCAGGAATTTTATGCTCTTGCTCATCTTTCTCTTTTTCTTCTGATGTTTTTTGCACACCGTCTTTGGAAACTTTACCATCTACGTTTGGATTCGTCTCYGACRCGGTCTTTTTTCTGTYTCTYCTGTTTCTTCCTTCATCAGCATTACTGACAGGAGCTACGTGTTCCTCCACGTTTTCAGTCCTTACAGCTTTTTGACCTCTGCCCCTGACATTTCTTTTAGGAGGAGGTGATTTTTCTGGGCTTGACTGGTCCTCATTGTTTAAAACTGAAGGTTTKGATTCATTTGCATCGACCTTCTGCTGCCCCCTACTGGTAGCAGCCCGTGGAGAGTGTGACACTTTTATGTAATTGTTCTGCAGAGTTTCAGATGAGGATGCATCAGATAATATTTTCCTCCTCCCTCTTCCTTGCTGCCGACCCCCCCTCGCTCTGCAGCTGGACACCTCTGAGCTGCAGGAGTTCTGCTCCACGGGTATTACGGCCACCGTCACCCTCCGCCGGCTGCTCCTGCTGACGGGTGTCTGGAGCAGCTCTCTCTTTCCTCCTCTTCCTCGGCCCACCCTGGTGCCGGCGCTGGAAGCAGACCTCTCGGAGCTGATGGAGTTGGACGAGTTGGAGCGAGACCGGGTTCTCCTGGCTGGGAAGTCTTCGCTGGTTGAAACGGACGAGTTYGTCTCCAGCTCAGCAGCAGGACCGGCGGTTGTTTTTCTCGTTGACCTTCGGCCTTTTGCGGGAAMTTTCGGCTTCTCTTCCTCGCCCTGCAGTTGCTTTTCTTTTGCTTCTTTTTCTGTCTGAGGCTCTGTTTGGTGTTCTTGCTCCTTCTCCCTCTCAAGTCTCACTTTATGTTCCTCCTCTGTCGCTCCTTCACTCCTCGTTCCATCCTTTTCTACACTCTGTACATCTGGTTTTATTCTCTTGGCACCTTCCATTTCTTTTTTTGCTTTTCCTTTTTGTAGTTTTCCCGTYGTCCGCAACATCCCCGTCTCCTCTTGTCTTTCTCCATCACCCATCTCTTTTTCCTCTTCATCTTTTTGCAGCCTTGCATTAATCCTGCCTCTTTCTTGCTTTAGCTCTTCCTCGCCGTTATCATCCTCTGCCTTTCCTCTCCTTCCTCTTGTTTTTGGAAGTGTACTTTCCTTTCTTGTAGGTCTCTTTGGAGGTACCRAACACTCTACCTCCTTTTTTTCTTGCACTAATTTTACCTTTGTCTGTCTTGATTTTGAAGTGCCAGACTGGTCTGTTTCATCTGTTTTTGGGAGAGTTCCAGTTGAAAGGATGTCAGAATTTGTTGATGGTTCTGTCTCATCAGRTTGGGGCTGCTTTTCTGCTTGTGGACCCAGAATCGAATCCTCCTCACTCTTCTCGTCTCTCTTGATCAGCTGAGCTTCTACAGCAGAGACGTCAGTAGAAGTGAGAGCTTGTGTCTGCCCTTCATGTGTTTCTCCTGTTTGTGGATTTGCAGCTGTGTCAGGTTGGATTTCAGCAGAGGAGAATTCAGAACTGGTAAGCTGCTGTGTCTCGTCTTCCAGATGAAGCTGCTTCACTTTTCTTTTCCGTGGAAGAACCAAGACTTCGCTATCGTTCTCCTCTTCCTCACCTCTAACTTCTGGCTGAGATGAAACACCAGACACTTGAGAACCAACCAGAGGCTGAGTCTGCTCCTCTTCCACCGGCAGAGGTTTTGCTTTTCTCTTCCGAGGAATGAAGCTCTCCTCATCGCTCGGCTTGCCCTCACGTTGGGATTCAACGGCCGAATTACCCTGTGACTGTGTCTCGTCTTCCAGCTGCAGAGGTTTTGCTTTTCTTTTACGTGGGCCTGGCACTGAACCATCTTCATCATCTTCATCACTTGCTACAATGGGCTGGGTTTGTTCAACGCAGGCATTAGAATCTGTCAGCTGATCAGACTCCTCTTCTTCAAGATGAAGCTGCTTAGCTTTTCTTTTTCGCGTGAGCGGCATCGAGTACTCGTCATCTTCATCTATAAGCATCGGCTGAGTTTCAGCAACACTGACATGTATGGGCTGGGTTTCAGCTAATGATGAGGCTGAACAAGTAGAAGGCTGCGTTTGTTTCTCTTCATGCTCCGGTGAGAAGTCTTCATCATCGTCTTTGTTGTCACCTGTACACACGGGCTGAGTTTCAGCTATAAAAACTGCTTCAGAGAGGATCTTTTCCTTTGTTTCAGTTTGTGTTCTGGGTTTAACGTGAGCAGAATAAATAGAATTACTTGTTTCTAATCTTTCCTCCTCAGAAAAAAGCACTGGTTGGGTTTCAGCCACAGCGAGCGTAGACGAGCGATGTGTGAAGTCTGCARTCTGAGCCTGTGCTGCATTTTGTCTCTTATCGTCTGAATCTTCCTCTGGATCACCGTAAGGCTCTGAAACATAAGCCTGAGTCGCTTCAAAGGCCAAATTAGCACAGTCTTCTTTCTCAGAATCTTTAACAAGCTCCTGGTTCTCCTCATAAGGCTGYGTTTCCTCCAGGCTGGGGTCGTTCTCTGCAGATGCTTCATAAGCAGCTGAGATATAAGCCTGGGTCTCCTCCAGGTTTACTCCTCCTCCTCCTCCTCCTCTTCCTCCCACTGACTCAAACACCTGGGTGCTCTCCTGACTCTGCAGGTGGCTGCTGTCAGACAACCCCAGCTGGAAGGAGTCCGCTCTGTTGGACCGGTCATCTGGTTTAGACTGGAGTCCTGACGCTGAGTTTGGGTGCAGCCCCGCCTGCTGATCTCTGGTCTGAAGAAGRAACGACTGTGTCTCAGCCACAGCGTAGTCTTCATCCTCCTGGCTGTCTGAGCAGGAAGACGGAACTATGAGTGTTAAAGCAGATGCTTTAAGTCCTGGGGGATGAAAAGAAAAAAAATTACCAGATACCAGCAGCATGTAGGTAGGTAATGAGACCATGATTAGGCAATATTTTTAGTTTGTGTTTGATTTCAYTATTTGTTGTTTGTTTTAGGAGGGATTTTTTTCATCATTACAAGGTTAAAGTTCAGTTTAGTATAAACTTTTTTACCACAATATCAGGCTGAACTTTTTCTGTTTTTTTGCTTATTTTATGTATTTTTCACTCACGTCCAAAAGTAACAGAACAGGGGCTTATGAAGGCCTGAGTCTCCATGTTTTCAACTTCTTCTGAAAAAACAAACAAACAAAAAAATACACATCAAACATTTAAGAAAATGCAAAAAACAACATAAGTGACCCAATGCATCAAACTGAGGATTAAAAGGCAATGTAAAGTGGGATGTGGAGAAATGGGCAACTAATGTCTGCTGCATTTTCTTTTAACATAATGAATAAATTCCTTATCTACGGTTTGTTTAAATGAAATATTAGAATTATTAACTACAGAAAACATGATTTTGAGCAGAAAAATCTTACATTTTTGTCATTTTTTTCAATATTGTTTGAGATTTTCTTTTTAAAATGACACAAAATTCCTCATTAGAATAACCTTAAAATAGGATTCAGACCAAATATCAATGAGTTATCCTGATTAGGAATCAAGCCACTCGTGAAACTGCTCATGATATCAGGTTAAAAGGCAGGAATTTGAAAGTTTCACGAGTGTCGTGAAGCAAAAATTATTTTTCTGGTTTGGACAGGTACAATACATTGGGCCTCATGCAAGAACCGTTCGTACGCACAGATTTGTTCTTAAATTGTGCGTACGAGTGATTTAGGAGAATTTGTGGCATTCACCAATGTTTTCGTATTCTACGATTTTTTTTCAGATACGAACAAAATTTACGAGTGGTCCAGACCTGTCGTATATTTTACGAGCAGTCAGTCTGCTGTTATCCAGACGGGTTTTCTTCAYTAATAACCTTATATTTTGTTAGTTTGAAGATATTTTGAGTTGAAAATAAATCACACTCCATAATTATGTTGACAATAGGCTATTCTGCTKGAATTAGAGTTATAATTTTAAATGTAAAAATTTAGACTAACAATATAAATTGTCCATCCGTCCGTTTTCTTCCGCTTATCCGGGATCGAGTCGTGGGCAGCAGCAGGAGACCCCGCTCTCCCCAGCGACACCTTCCAGTTCGTCCTGGGGGACACCGAGTCGTTCCCAGGCCAGAGGGGGTACATAATCCCTCTAGCAAGTCGTGGATTCTCTCCAAAGTGCCAGACATATTTTGAAAACATTTTAAAATGCTTATTTCAGAACCACAACTGAGACCACGCGCGCGCGTGCGCGGGGGTGGGGTGGGGTACGGTGCGCAGCGCTGCCGCTTCTGAATAAATGAAAATGATTTAACACAGTTGTTTATATTTTTAGCARCTCTTTTTATTCCACAGCTGACCTGCTAAAAATGACAGATTTTATTTTCCGGATCTCTGACAGACGGACTTCAATCTCTGAACTCGTAAAGTTCTTTTTAGTTTTCGCTGTCATTTTCATGAATGGACACTTGTATTTGAGGCAGGAAACATAGCCTTATATGGTGTTTTTGGGGTGGTAATTATGCTAATCTCCTCTCGCGTGCACCAGCAGCTGGAAACGAACAGGTGTAATTCATTTACGCACGTTTCCTGAAGATAGAAGAGTTTGTTGAATCTGACGTGGCATGTTCGTACGAACCCTTCATACTAACAAAAGTAAGAGAAATTTAGGATAAGAATACGAACATGTTCTTGCATGAGGCCCATTGTGTTGATCTGAATATTTACTGTCTGATTATATGAAGGAGTAGAGCAGTTCTGCAGGAGGGGGGTCAGAGACCCTAAACTACYGGTATGTTCCCTCTTCAGCTGAGGGATCTGATCCTCRCCCTCCTCRCCGATATTTGCCTCCTCCTCCTCCTCCACGTCAGTATCACTGTTCCCTCCGAGCTCAGCTGGATTCGCCCCATCTCCAGCACCGGGCTCATCTAAATCTGGGTCCACATCAGATCCGGACATTTTACCAGACACGTTTGGGACATCTAGATGTCCAACATTCTGCTCCTCTGCATCTGTGTCACTGTCAGATACAATGTCCAGATCAGCTGCTGCAGCTGGACAGGTGAGGGATCCTGAGGGGTCACCAGCTGCAGGACCACAGACAGGTTCAGTTTTTGTTTCTGGATCAAGACTAAGAGGAGCAGCAGTGGGAACAGATCCGGACACATCAGGCATTTCATCAGTTTCAGAGTCGTTTTTTGTTCCTCGTCCTGCTGTTTCCTCTTCAACGTCCGTGTCACTGTCTAAGTGGAAACCTCTCGAAGAATCAGAGTCAGCCTGAGCTGATGTGGCTTTGGCTGAGATGATGGCTTCTGACACAGCAGCATCATCCACATCAGTGTCACTGTCATCAGGCTGAACACCTGACACAACATCAGTGGGTTTGACAGCTTCATCAGACACAGTTTTAGGAGACTTGTCTGAAATATCTTCATCAACATCGGTATCACTGTCCATGTGGAACGGGGCTGTGTTTACTGGTGGATCAGCAGGTCTTCCCTCTCCCTCCTCATCCGTGTCACTGTCCATGTTAAAGGCAGGAACGACTCCTGGAGTCCACACAAGCGATTCATCTTCTGTTAAACTYGCATTCCTTTCCTGTTTCACATCTTGACCACTTTCTTTAGTATTTCTCCCAAATCCTGCAGCTTTTTCTTCTTCCTCCTCCTCTCCGCTGTTTTCCACAAACCCAGGCGACCAGTTTTTCTCCAGGTGCCGTCGCTCCACTTCGACGCCGCTCTTTTCAGTGCTGAGGCTGACGCGTCTGTTTGAGTTAGCAGAGGAGGACGGCGTGATGGGACTTTCATCCTCACTGTGAAACAAAAACAACAACAAAAACATGGTGACATTTCAGGAGGGAAAAGTGGAATTTATTGACAAAGAAGTTGTTTTGTGTTTGTACCATAAATAACTATAAAAAACACGTTTACCTTTCAGGGACGGTTTTGTTTGGGGGACTTAGGAATCCTGAAGAGTTGGGACTGGATTTATGGGAGTCAGAATCAGACACTGAAACATAAAAACAAAGAACTACAGCTGCTTTGATCAAACCTTAAAAATTTAATTATGTTGGATACAAGTATTTAAGCAGATGTTGTGCTCAGAAGATATGTAGAGAATGACTCTCAGCTAGCACCACACCAAACTAATAGTAACGTAGTTACTAAACTTAGGATGTTTGGCTGGTGTTCAGAGTCTGGATGGCCCATGGGAAGAAACGGTTTTTGAATCTGTTGGTGCGGCTCTTAATTTAGGAAATCTGTGCCGATAAATTGGYCGGATGATTTATCGGTGCACCCCTAATAATTTACTACATTCGATATATGCACCATACTTTTTGGATCCACACATTAAATGAAAGAGGATCTGGTTTTTAAATTCAATATCTGTAAAACTGACTGAGGTATCACATTTTTCTTGGTTGGCTTAGATACACAGTCAATCATTAGTTTCTTTAAGTTGAATTGAAATTTGCCTCATGGTTCATGTGATATTTTGCTAACAGACAAACACACACAAGTAAAAACTAAGTCTGTATTTTGCCTTTCACTGACAGGTGATAAAAACCTCATTTAAACATACCTTGTGTCTTCTGTCTTCGGTCTCCTCTCCCTCCTCTTTCACTGCCTGAGTCTGAGTCAGAATCTGGGACCAGGCTCCCCTGAGGTTGCGTCGGCGTTTGCTCAAAGGACAGACAGCTGCCTCTGACCGAGCTCTTCTTCGTCCCCGTTCCACCATTGACACATTTCGTACCGACTCTGTCAGCAGCTCCCAAACCATCCAGCAACACTGTCTTTATTCTTGAATTTCTGCTCCCTGGAGTTTTCATGTCATCTTGGGAAGAAACTGAACGTGCACTGCAGCTCACATACTGGCACGGGATGTCTGCTAAAACTAAGCTGTCGCCTTCACTGAGGGCATAGCGGACGTTAGGGGTCAGTTTAAGCCGTCCCTTACGGGTCCCGTTCATGCTGCCTAGGTCCCAAACCAAAGCCTCCATGTCCACGTCATTGTGGAAACCTCTTCTTYTGTAAACAGAGATGCAGATGGTGGCGTGTTGCTTGGACACTGAGGAAGCAGGCAGTGGTAGTGAGCAGACACTTGGGTCACGGCCCAGAATGTTATCTCCCAAAAAGAGGGGCAACTCTGAATGACACAGAAAATACATCACAGATTGTGCATAAATTATCACATCATATGTGTAAGTAAAATATTGTGAGACACTTACCTGTCTCAGGGAGGTGTGGGTTTTTTAAGATGCAAAGTTTAGCCAGTTGTCTTCCTCTCTTATTTTGATTCTCTTCTATGTTTTCTTCCTCGTCAGACTCTAAAATTGAGTCACTGATCGCCTGAGTAGCATCCATTCCTACCAGAGTGTGAAGCAGGATGACTACAAAACGTTAACACAAAAACAGTTGGCTTCAATACTAACATCTTCTAAAGCTAACTCGCGTTAGCTTGAGACGCCTGACTGAAACTGGTGGACTTTAGCCTCCGCGGCTATTAAACCAATATGTTACCAGTAAAACTAACCTTCATCAGCCGCACGTTGTCCGTTTAACTCGTGCTAACATTCAGTAAATATGAAATATCTTAASAGACGTCAGCAATTCTGATAATACTTTTAGTAGTATATCTGTCAAAATCACAACAATTACACATCCGGTCAACATTAAAATAAACGTTGGCTAACTCCGATGCTAGTAGTAACTGTAGCTATTATTACAACAACATCCTTACAACTATTGCTTCAAAGTAGTGGATGTCTTTATTGCCAGCAAGGCATTTGATCTTTTTTCAAGCATCGCTATTTGACAAAATAAACATTACCTTGAAACTACGATGGAAGTACGTGAAGTTTTACTGACTTGACGGTTCGACAAAGGTCTAATTTGTAGATCTGAGACGTGGGTTTATTGCGGCTTTAAATTTGGCATCATACAATGAGCTCCCTTTAAAAAAAAAAAAAGAAAATAGACACTTTGACCCATACCTTAAAAACGCAGCCTTTCGGTACTTGGCAGATAAACAAAAAAATGAAAATAGACATAAACCACGCCCATAAAGGATGTAAAACTTCCAACAGATTGGCTACAACCGCTGTCACTCACATTAAAACCTTGTTTTCATTGGACAAGCTTTTTTGTGCTACTAAAAGCGTCTTTGATTGGATCAAAAGTTCCTAAAACGCTCTCTTCACGCATTTATTTTCGCGCCATCAAAACAGGACGTGCGACTTGAAATCCTACCCTTTTACACTAAATCGTTTGGGAATAATTATGTATATTTAGGAATGACAGATATTATATTTGCGGACTTCTGTTTTTTAACCATGAACCTAATTTGTTAATTTTTACTGTTTCAGAGCAAATACCCATCAAGATTTATGTATGGCTATTTCAATATTGAAATAAAAGGGACATAGCTACTGACAACTGAATATTTTAGGATCAGTTATTTGAGTCAAAAAAGAAATTATTTCAGTATTTTGCTGAAGTGACTGTAATAGTTCATGACTATAAGCACAACTGATTTTTATGCAAAAACTTAAGCAGCTGTGTAGAAACAATTTAGACTCCTATAAATCTTAATAGATAGCAATGATGTCCTTTAACCATTTCTAACAATTTGCATATAATTTAATCATTCATGTATTTTACTTTTATAATTTTAATGTAACAGTTTTATGTAATTCCTCCAAGAAAATATGGATGAAACCATCAAAAGGAATAGTCTAATAATGTTAATAACCCTTGATATCTTTGAAATATTATAGGGCTTTAAAAATCTTATTTATTAAACAAATTGTTGGTTTAATAACACAAGTGAGAATCAAACAGTTTCCATTTGACAAGTTTATTTGTACTGAATGACAACAGGTAACTACTGTAAGCTAAGGCCTGATCCTAGTAATGCTCTGGACACTATGTCGGTTTCTTGGTTATTTGTGGTTTGTTCCTTTGATAGTTTGATTTTGGCATTGTTTTCTTCATCTTCGCATCTTTCTCTTCAAGCATCCTCTTCGGCCTCCTCCTCAAATTCGCCTTCCTCCTCAGCGGTGGCGTCCTGGTACTGCTGGTACTCGGACACCAGGTCGTTCATGTTGCTCTCTGCCTCGGTGAACTCCATCTCATCCATACCTTCGCCCGTGTACCAGTGCAGGAAGGCCTTGCGCCGGAACATGGCTGTGAACTGCTCAGAGATGCGTTTAAACAGCTCCTGAATGGCTGTGCTGTTGCCGATGAAAGTGACAGCCATCTTAAGGCCGCGAGGTGGAATGTCACAGACGGCGGTCTTCACATTGTTGGGGATCCACTCGACGAAGTAACTGCTGTTCTTGTTCTGCACGTTGAGCATCTGCTCGTCCACCTCCTTCATGGACATGCGGCCTCGGAACACGGCGGCGACTGTCAGGTAGCGGCCGTGACGCGGGTCGCAGGCGGCCATCATGTTCTTGGCGTCGAACACCTGCTGGGTGAGCTCGGGGACGGTCAGAGCACGGTACTGTTGGCTGCCCCTGCTCGTCAGTGGGGCAAAGCCGGGCATGAAGAAGTGCAGACGGGGGAAAGGCACCATGTTGACGGCCAGTTTACGGAGATCTGCGTTGAGCTGGCCAGGGAATCGCAGACAGGTGGTGACACCGCTCATGGTGGCAGAGACCAGATGGTTYAGGTCACCGTAGGTGGGTGTGGTCAGTTTCAGAGTGCGGAAGCAAATGTCGTACAGAGCCTCGTTGTCAATGCAGTATGTTTCATCTGTGTTCTCTACCAGCTGATGGACTGACAGGGTGGCGTTGTAAGGCTCCACCACTGTGTCTGACACCTGTTAAAACACACACACACACACACACACACACACACACACACACACACACACACACA